TTTGATGCATTTTAAATTTTAACTATCCCACGGTGAATTATGAAGATGAAAAAGAAAATGGACAATAATTGATTCAGCATCACGCCCAAAAGGTTAAAGAGCATAGGAGATGGAAGGAGAAAAGTTATGGTCACATAGGAAAAAAGGAAAAGGGTATCAAAAAGTTATGGACGGTACATATGCTTCTTTTGAATAGGTTTAAAGATGCGATAAAATTGAAATTAAAATCGACTTATAATAATTTTTTCTTAGAGTTTAACGCACTCGATTTCATCAAATCTATGTCCAAATGTAGGTAAACGTATTAATTTACAAATAGGTATAACTTTCTTGGATAGTACTTTTAAGCACAACTGTCTTTTTTTATTTTCATTTTCAAAAAATAGGGGTCAAACGGGGACACACATTTCAAGGATCCACATGTACAATTTACCATTTATTTTTATGTATTTATAATTTAAATTATTTATAAATACTTCCTAAATATGTTTAACACAGCTAACTTTTTGACCAAACAATAGCTAAGAAAAAAAATTCAAAAAAGATGGGCTAGAATTTATTTTTATATTGTGCTCTAGTTACTTGATATCTAAGATTTCTGAACCAATAAATCTAAAATATCATAGATTCGTAGCATTCTGCACATGTACCTTTATCTTGGAGCACTGTTGTTTAGTCTCGATCCACGCAGTTCTTCTTCTTTCTTTTTCTTTTTTTTAATTGAGTGGTCCCAAATTAGTTCGGTACTCATAATCTAGCTACCAGACGACCTTGCATGGCCTAGGAGTTTTCTTGAGTCGATCCATAACGAGGCTGTTGGTTCATGCAAAAACAAAATGTGAGTTTCTCTAGAAAAATTATTAAACTAAGAGCCTATTTGAGAGTAATTTTTTTCCCTAAAAAATGATTTTTTGATCATTATTTCATTATTTCAGTAATCATATTTGACTTCTTCTCTCACAGATTGACCCCACTTTTCTTGTAACGATCAAAAAATCAATTTTTAAAATCACTTCCAAATAGGCTCTAAAACTTTAATGCCTGTTTGAATTCATTATTTGAAGAGAAATTACTTTTTTGATGATTGATTATGAGCTCCCAAATTAAAAAATGTGTATCACAATATTTACAAGTTATGCTACACGATCAAGTTCTGGAAGCATGCAAAAAGACGAAACAACCCTTAATTATTGGGCAAATGGATACCTTTCATTTGAAGTCAATGGTTTATTCTTCTTTTGGACATCAAGCGCAAGATTGGAAACCAAAATGGGGGTTGCAAATGTGAATAGGACCATTTGTCTTGATTTAATGAAAGTTTGAATTTAACAGTGTCAAATTCTTCTAGAAAGCTGGAATTTAAGTACAGTCAAACATGCGCATAATGTGCGACTTACGAAAATATCTAAAGAATTTTGGCTCAATATTTGGTGGTCCGACAAAGCAAATTTTTAAACAATAATTTTACATTAATCCAATCCGTAGACTAGCTCTACTTGAGAATGGTTGCAGTCTTGCAGGATTAGGAATCCAAATCAGTGATGGCCTAATTTAACTACGAAAACCTCTTTAACAAAAAATATAGAATCTGTTTGGGGTGATTTTGAGAATTGATTTTTTGACCGTTAAGAGAAAAGTGAGGTCCACCTGTGAAAGAAGAAGTCAAATATGACAGCTAAAATAGTGAACTGAGGTCCACCTGTGAAAGAAGAAGTCAAATATGACGGCTAAAATAGTGAACTAACGGTCAAAAAATCAATTTTTTGAAGGAAAAAATTACTTCCAAATAGGCTCATAATATTACTGAAAACAAAGAACAATAAATAATAAAATAAAATGTCATCCATATATAAATTTCTTATTTCAATTGGGGCAAGTGATCTCACTTTTCCCACATCCCTTCGCCGCTGTTTGAGAGTTGAGACCTTTCAAGTTCAGAGTAATTGTCACTGAAGATTTAACATTAGGCGCTCTTATTCTCAAGCAAAAACAAAATTGACAGCAGAAACCTTTTTTAATAAAATTATAATTGATATTTTAGCGAGTAAAATTCCCTAAATTTGTCTACATATGCTGTGTGCACAAAAAGCTTTTGTCACCTACTCACAGTCGAAGGCTCAGGATACTTCATGGAATTTAAAAAAGCAAAAGGCACCAATATTATAAATAAATAAACATTTCAGAAAATTCCAAATGTGTACCCTTTTTTAAAGAAAAACAAATGCTTTTAAAAGAGACTCAAAAAAGTAAAAATAATTGAGCTTAGTTCTACTAAAGTGAATTGTCAGACTGCAAAACAATATTAAAGTATGATTTGTTGGTCAATTACTTTTTAAATAATTATTTTATATTATTTGAATGCTTTTTTACCAAATTAGGGGACAACCACCAGCTTCGAGTAAAATATACGTTTTTTTTGTTTGAGTAATTTAGCCCCTATTTGAGCCCCATTACATTAAATTCTATTACATTTTATTTTTCTATCTCCTATTTTTAACCATATAATCTTTCATAAAATAATATTACACGTAAATCGAAAACCTTTCATTCTTTTTCAACCACTCATTTTTCAAAAAAATACTATTCCTCCCATTAAATTTCCTACGTAATGGGAATCAAACAGGGGCTTAGTGTTTGGCCCCCATTCTTAGCTAATTTTAATGGATGAAATAGTATTTTTTTGAAAAATGTGTGATTGAAAAAGAATGAAATTTTTTTGATTTGTGTGTAGTATTATTTTATGGAAGATTGTGTGGTTAAAAATATGAGAGAGAGAAAGAATTAGAATGAGATAAAAATGGGGGCCAAACACATGCTAATTGTCTTGAGATTCTTGCCGATATCATTTCTTGTTTAATATAATTATATAGGAAAACAGAAATTTATATTGCTAGTTAACTAATGAAATCCACTATGTTAAGCTTCAATAAATTAAGCCCTTGTTTGATCCCCATTATGTAGAAAAATTAATGGGGGAAATAGTGTTTTTTTGAAAAATGAGTGATTAAAAAAGAATGAAAAATTTTCGATTTACGTGTAATATTATTTTATGAAAGATTGTGTGGTTGAAAATAGAAAAGAAAAAAATAAAATTTAATATAATGGGGCTCAAACAGAGGCTAAGCATTAGCATTTATTGCTTTATGACGTGGTTCCCTCGTAGAAGTTACTATTTTTGAGCTTTGCTTTTCTTAAATTACTTTTACATTTTTCTTCTTTAAATTATATTAAGATACTCTTAATGAAAAGAACTCGGTCTACTTAACAAATTCAACATTGTCCTCAACAACTTTATGAAAGTTGCCACTCGAAAATTAGATTAATGGAATATAATTACCATTGTTCATAGGATAGTGATAATTGAGGTGGGGCGGAACAATAAATCAAGAAGTCATTACCACTTACACTGGTGATGATGGACATGTTCTCTTGTGTTCCTGATTTCAAATCTTTGATACATGACTAAGGATGTTTGAAGAAGGCTTTTGAAAAGTTAAAAGTAAATTCTGAGACTAAAAAACAATTTTGAATATGTTCGAATGATTTTCTATAAGGTACTTTTTTTAGCTGAAAAGCTTTTAGATAAAGTTTGCCTAAAGTATCTTTCTAATAAATATTTTTTTTTTGCAAGATGTAGAAACAAATGTATAAGCCCTACAAATAGGCCTTAAGTGCTCGTGTGGAAGTGATTTTGAAAATTACTTTTATTCAACACACATTTTTCAAAAACAAAATAAATCAATTTTCGTACTTTTTAATAGTTTTCCTACTTTTAACCTACGCAATAAAAAAAATGCATTTAAAAAAAAAACGAACAATCACTTGTAAATGGATTTTAAGTTGTTGGAGTATCAATCAATGTACATTTTCACTCATCACGTTGACGAGACCATGATGTTCCTTCTCATTCTTCATTTTATTAATTGATGATTGAAGAGTACAAGAAGATATTTGTCCACTCATCGTAAATGAAGTAATCAATGTTAAACGAGTGATGCTAAAAGTATAGGAGGAGCTTGATATAATTTTTACAGATTGGACAAATATCTTCTTAAACATAAACCATAAACATTTATTCTTAGTTGTGCAAATGATGATTATATAAGGTATATTCTTCAAAGCGTTGTATTTGATATGTCAAGTGTCCATTTTCAGTTTTTTATAGAAAAAATTTCTAAGTTTATATTAACTTCCTAAAAACTTTTATAATAACAAAAAATTTTTAAAAAAAATTGTCCAAACATATTCAAAAGTAACTTATTTAATTTCAAAAATATCTTTTGATTTTTCAAAACCACAATCAAACGAACTTTCAATCTTCTTAATAACTGAAGAATTAATTAATTATAATGTTCAACATATAGATATAAAGAACAGTCTCATTATTTCTTCCGTCAACTTTTGAAGTTAATATTGTTGACCCATCCGCGTATTCTCATATACAAAAGGATTGGATTGGATAGGACTAAGAATTTAAAATATCTTCAAAAATAAGTAAAAAAATAGAAGAAAGTTGAGTTGCTTCGATATATTGCTTTAAGTAGGACCTGTAGACTATTGCAGAGTGTATTCTTGAGAGTGGTCGACCCATGATTTCATAGTATAAAGCCAACTATGCATTAAGAAGATTTTCGAAGAAGACTTATGACCAAGAAAGCACAAGTTGACATATTGGTTCTCATGATTAGTCACGCGTTAAATTGGAACCATTTTACATGGTTTCATTTTTGTCCACTGTCTTTTACTATTTAGGTCATGTCTGATTTAGTTTAAAAAATAATTTTTTATTAAAATTTGATGAATATTTTTAATGGAAAAGTTGATACGAATTGCAAATCTTATTAACCTCCCGTTTGGCCGCCCATTTTGTGAAAATGGAAATGGGAGCAACAGTTTTTTTTTTTTTTTAATAAAAAATGGATGGTTGAAAAATAAAGAAAAAATTTCGATTTACTCATAATTTTTTTTATGGAAGATTATGTGGTTGAAAATAGAAGAGAGAAAAATAAAAATGTAATGGAATGAAAATTAATGGGAGCCAAACGGGGGCTAAGTCCCTATTTGGGTTTCGTTAAAATGAGATTATGGAGAAAAAATATATTTTAAAATAATGATTTTTCAGAGAATATATATGGTTAAAAAATAATAAAAAATTTTGAATTTACTTGAAACATTATTTTATGAAAGAATGTGGGTGTTTGAGTCACATTATTTTGGTGATAATACATTCTTGAATAGTGTATTGATGAGAAATGTGTGGTTAAAAAATAAGGAAAAGTTTTTTATTTGCGTGTAATATTATTTTATTGAAGAATGTGTGATTAAAATGATGTCAAATCACTGTTTAAAAATGTATTTTTGATTGATTTTCGTCAAAAATAAAAAATAAAAAAATGCACCACATAGGTGCTGTGCTGTGCCTTTGAACATACAAGTAATGATAATTGAGTAGTAAATTTTAGCATTTTGTGAAAAAAAAAATTAGTTGTGCAAAATTGTTTAAAAAGTCATAATGATATGTCTAACACGTGCTCAAGTCAAGTTTTTAATTCTAATGAATAGAAAAAATCAACATATAAAATTAAATAATCACAAAACACACTAACAATATAATAATAGTATTTGGTGAGAAATAAAATTAGATTTTTTTAGTAAATTGTGATATAAATTTTTAGAATGTGTGGTTGAAAAGTTATAGAACCCATAAAAAAATGGTTAATATTAATTATTTGACTTGAACTTAAATTAAAGTCAGATTTTAATCCAAATCATTGAACTCGACTACACTATTCATGTTTACTTCATTTTTTCCCATCCAATTGCACATATCATATTTCTATCGTGTTATCCAATAATATTTTGTGATTTTTCTTTTTAAAAAAGTCAAGATTTAATATATTTCACAAAGTTAATTTTTTTTTTTTTTAACTTGGAATATTTTAAAGAGGAAAATGCCTACGGATCAAAGAAAACGGAGAGTCCACACGTTCACATCAGTAATAGGTCCAGTTTTTACCCGCCAGACAAAGGTACAACTCTTTTTTTCTCAACGTACAAACATCTAAGTACATCTCTGTGTGTGTAATGTGTATAACAGACTACAAAGATCGTTGAACTGAAACTTTTGTTATATTCCTCGTCTCACTTCTCTCTCTCTCTAAATTTTCACACAAATTCACATGTTATAAATATTTAATATGCACACATAATCAAGTATATAGCCGTTGTATTGCTTAGAGTAAAAGTACAGGGAGGTTAAGAAATTTAGAGAAATGCCGCCAGCGAGCATTCTGCTGGTTTTTGTGACGGTGGCGGTGGCGGTGGCGGTGGCAATGGAGGTCTTACCGGATGCGGCGGTGTTTGGTGGTGAAGGGAAGAGCTTGACGTTGACTCTAGAAAGGACGAGTCATAACGGAGTGGAGATGAGTCAACTCAGGGACCGTGACCGAGTCAGACATGTTAGATTCTTGCAGCAACAGCTGACGGGGGTGGTTGATTTCCAAGTTGAAGGAACCTACGATCCTTTTATTGTTGGGTATAATTTCTCTCACCATAATATATATCGCTATAGGTGTATGTGTGCGTATATGTATACACGAATTAATTGAATATACAGCAATAAATTGTACTGAAATTATCCCGAAAAACAAGAAAGAGAGAAATTTGATGGCTTCTTGGCTAGCATATATTTGTATGTTTGGAAATATATAAAGTAATTTGTATATTTGGGTCTCAAATTTTACATTATGACCAAATTGGTACTTATTTGAGCTTTTGGATCTTGCTTTCAAGGCTATATTATACAAAAGTTAAACTGGGGACTCCTCCAAAAGAATTCTATGTACAGATTGATACTGGAAGTGATGTTTTGTGGGTCAGTTGCAACTCCTGTAATGGCTGCCCAACATCCAGTGGACTTCAAGTAAATTCATTGTTATTGTGTGAAAATCTTCATTTTCATTTTAATTTCCCCTTCCAATTATGTCGTAGAGTTATTGGATGACATTTCTTTAGTAGGATTTTATTGCATTTTAACAGATTCAACTTGAGTTCTTTGATCCCACGAGCTCATCGACGGCTTCGTTGATCTCCTGTTCAGATCGAAGATGTGATTTGGGAACACAGTCTTCGGATTCATTGTGTTCTAGTCAAAACCAGTGCGGTTATAGGTTCCAGTACGGTGATGGCAGTGGGGCTTCGGGTTTTTATGCATCAGACTTGATGTATTTTGACACAATCATTGGGAATTCGCTGGCCTCGAATTCTTCAGCGCCTATTATTTTTGGGTGAGTTAATGATGAATGATAATTATATATACAGTATATTTCATCTGGCCTACGTCTTTGATCGTTCAGAGTGGTGCTGCAGTATGGTGCATTGGTTTTCAGAAACTTCAGGGTCAAGGGATTACGATTTTAGGAGGTATGGCTTACGGGGAAATTAAAGTATCAGCTAATAGAATCAGTTTCTGAATATAAAATAAAATAGAATCTCATAGTATTACCATTGATGTACTTCTTTCTATCTATTCATATGTCTTGCCCACACTATTTATAAATCTAATAAATGTGTATGTGCATTCTCATTAGTCGTGTTAACAACAAATATTAATTTACATTTAACTTATGTAGCAAAATTACTGGTATCGTTTTTCTCAAGTAGAGATGAATCTAAATTAATTCTTTGTTACTTTATAAGAGTGGCACCCAACTTAGTTTTTGGTTTTAATTACGCGTAGCATAATTCTTCGTCTAATGCTACGGTGTTTTTCGTCATTCAAATGGGATTTTCATATGATTAGTAGTAACTATGTCGGAAATGTGCTTATGCATGTTGTTTTCCATTAATCCATAATTTTTATTTCTTTGTAGACCTTGTCCTAAAAGATAAAATTGTTGTATACGATTTGGCCAGTCAACGGATTGGATGGGCCAATTATAATTGTAAGTTTTTACTACTACTTTTTTTAACAATATATAATTATTGATACACATTTATTCTCGTGTTTCATTTGCATGTTGATTTCTTAGATGCTTTGTAAAATGCTATTATTTGTGTATTTGATTGTCAAATATAGGGGTGGCAAACGGGCGAGCAGCTCGATGGCTCATGGGCTTGGCTCTTCCTAGTCTTGACCCATGGGCCACTCAGGCTCGTACTGAAACTAGCCATGGACGGAGATGAGCTCGATTTTTATTCATGAGCCAGCTCGTCCTTAGAGCTTAGCCGGCTAGACTCAGCTTGACCAATGCCTCCCCTAGCCAAACATATGGAAATTCTAGCAAAAGAACTTGTGACTTTTAATTGTATAGATAGTTCATGTCTCTTTATTAAAGTCTTGATCCATCGTCTAACTTAACACATTTAAATTCCTCCCATATAGGTTCATCTTCCGTGCATGTCTCTACAAGCACCAGCAATGGCAAAACTGAATTTTTCAACGCGGGACAAATTGACAACAGTTCATCGCGTCTTGATTACTATGAGATGATACCAACTATTGTCCTAGCTTTCTCATTGCATGTATTAAGTCTTTGGTGGCATATTTACATTTTGTAACATTTAGAGGAGGAATTTTATATTTCTTACTATATAGTTTCTGGTCCGAGGAGATGTTCGCTGCAATCGGTAAGTCTTATGTTGTATGTTAGATTGCAGTTTCAAGCTGCTCTAATTTGTTGATTATTGTAGAATTACCGTCCGGGAACTGGATTAACCTTAAATTTCATACAGGAATACAGTATTTTATTTATACATAAGTAATTTATTTTACCCTCGATTAATGTGACTTTTGCTCTCTATGGTATAGTATAAATTTGGTTAGAACCCAGTTTCTATCTGTTTCTGTTATTGATTTTGTTTGAACAATTGAACTGCAACTCAAGCATGTTTCGCACGTTATGATTGAATGGTATTCAATATTAAGAGAAGAAAATGAGACTAAAATTTCGTTGAGTTCTATCCACTGTTGAGTTCAAAAAATGCACTTTTTTTTTTCATATATTCGACATGCATCTTCAAGCGACCATATAATATTTTCATAAATTGAATTTCCTTTTGTAATTGGATTGTGACAAGGTCTGAACTGAAATTTTAAATTTTCTTTGTAGCCACATTTTGTATGTCTGTAATTACTTATTTGAGGTCGATGAACAAATAAATAACTTTATAGTAAAAAAAAAAAAAAAGACCATAAACTTTCAAGTTAATCAATTGACTAAAAGAGAAGTATAAAAATTTGAAAGGGTAAGGTAAAAACTAGCACAGCTAACTGCGCAAGAATAAGTACGCTTTTCTTGAAAGCAACTCCCAGCCCTCTATTTGAAATAATTTATACACTTTACTCCACTGGACATTCCCGAATACATAAAATCCTTCTATTTTCGCCAAATGACTCTGCTTCCTTCTTCCAAGATCCGCTGTCCCTTCCCTCCCTAAGTTATGCTCCTGTGGCGCACGCTGTGGTTGCAGCGTTTTTGGCTAGGCATTATTTGTAAGCATTTATACTCGTGCATGACAGAGTGGACAAGTTGTCCTTCGCTGTTGCGTTATATTGGAATGTGGAATTAGGGCTGGGCAAATCTCCCGAACCGAACCCGACGGTTCTTGTCAAATTAAATACCCGAACGGGTATCTGAATTGAGAACCGACGGGTACGGTTCGGTTCTCGATTCTAGACCAATAACCGAAAAACCGAATAAGAACCGAATCTTTCTAATTTTTTTTTATATTGAGTAAATTAAATTATTTTAATTTTAATTTTTCTAAACAAATTAACAATTTCTAAATCCAAATTTTTGACCCAATAATTTGTTCATTTCTAATTTTTTAATTTTTGGCCCAATTACCTTTTTTATTGTTTCATTTCTTAGCCCAACAAGATTCAATCCACTAAATAACCTTAAACACCTACACTAAAGTGCATAACATTGTCTCGACTCTTGTACTCACTCTCGCAGCCTCGCTAATATTCCAAAACCTATACAATCGTCGACCGACACTGTGACCTCCAATCGAAGCTGTGACTTCCGCGGATCGAAACTTTGACTGTAGTAATCATTTGAACAAAGTAGTTTACTAGTTTCTAACATTTCAAAACCATTGAATGTATCATTAGTTGTTTTTATATAATGTTGTTGTAAATATTAAAAAATTTAATTATAGTACAGAACCGAACCGAACCGAACCCGAACCCGAACGGTTCTATAATTATATTTGGATCCCACGGTTCCATTTACTAGATACCCGAAAATTTTGGTTCGATTCGGTTCTCTTAAGAACTGAACCGACCCGTGCCCACCCCTATGTGGAATGCAGAATAGTTGTAATTGAATAGAACAGTGAGTGAGTTATATGGTACACTATGCTGAACTATGATGTGTTGATGCAATGAAGACATTTGCGTGAAGAAAGGAGTCATAGATCACAAGCTCAAATATGCTTATGAGCTTATCTTAAGGGATGAAAGTTTGATACCTGAGAGTAAATAAGATAGCATACTATTACCCAAACTTAAAAGTAGTACAATACTTTTGAAATGATAAATTAAACATTATAACTCACAAATATTTTGGACACTTATTTTTTTAAAGAATAATGCGCTAGAACATCCGTCCAATTGACATTACTAGATAAGTTTAATTAAAGTCAAATAAATGAAAGAATATTCCTATTTAATTGATTTATATTATAATCCCAACTGGTGGTGCTAAGTATATTCTTGTTTTAACCATGTTAAATCAAACTTGTTGCAACTACTGAACGTTCTCTCATCTTGGAGGCTTAGATTGTTCTACCATAATCTAACTTATATGCCAAACATTTAATTAGCGTTGATTTTCACCCTTAATAGGCTATCATCCTTTTTAGTATACTACATTTCATATATTGAATTAGAATGCATATCTCACAAATATTTCGAACGTACTTCTTATATGACGTTTAATCTATCAAATATCATGCCTAGGAATGTCAATTCGATTCGTTGGCTCGAGTGGCTTGCAGTTCAGCTCGAGTCGGCTTGACTTGCGACTTGTTGGAATTGAGCCGAGGCTAGGACCAAGCCTCATTTGAAAGTCCAAGAATAACTAACTAAGAGGGGGGTGAATTGGTTATTTGAAACTTTTTCTAAAATAAACGCAAATTTAAGCAAATAGCTATGAATAATCAAGACAACACAAAAATAATAAGAGGAAGGGAAAGGGGAGTGCAAACGATGTAATAAGGAGGTTCGATCCAATCACGGTCTACGTCTCCCGTTACCAAGCTCTCCATCACGAGCATGGCCCTTTTCACTATTTTTGATTGACTTATGGTGCAATTCAACCCTTACAATGCTTCCGGTGACTTGTAACTAAGGAGCACCGATCCTTTTACTCGTTGAGCTTTCCGGGACCTCAACTCGACCCACAAGAAAATCAAAGTTACAATTGAAAGGTTTCTCTCTTAACAAATGGTATGAACACAACTAAATATTAAGAGAGAATTAGGCACAAAACACTTCAATAAATCACAAAAAATATAGTTTAAGTGTTGTGTGAAAAACTTTTATTGAGATATATGAATTTTCAAAAAGTTACCCACTCAAAAAGTTTTTCAACAAATAAATATTTTGATCTCTTAAAAACTGAAAAACAAGGTAGACAAGATCAACAAATAACTCTCTTTAATGTTGTAAAAAGCTTACCTTGAAAGAGGTATAAAAAGAGGTATTTATAGCCATCAATCAGGAGATCCGGACAAGTAATTTAGACGTTCGCTTGTTATCCGGACGATTAACTAGCCGTTTGCCAAACAGTTAAAAAATGTGATCGTTGGACATTTCATCCGGACGTCCGGATGGGCCTTTTATTTTCCCATCAAAATTTTTTTTTTCGTGAAAAATTCCTTTAAGGTATTTGAACGGTTTTCTTATATACTTCATATAGATAAGTAATTTCATAAAGGTTTAATTGTGAAAATCAAATTACTTATCTTTTGAAAATGATTTTTATGCAAGTAAAGTTTGTCATGATAATTCCCGTGCATAAAAATTGTTTGAGCTATAATCGATATGAAATATTAAAGTGTTTTACCTTTATACTTGAATATAGAAATGCATCTATAGCTAATGTCTTCAATTTCTTCATCCAATGCAATTTGGTGCGTGAAAGCTCATTTTCCATTTCCTTGTTCGTAAATCTTGTGTATATATCGTTTTGCGTCAAGGTTGCATGATTCCCGATCTTTCGTGTCATAAATTTGCAATAATAACTTTAAATCACTTAAATTCAATTTGTTAGAATCAAATGCAATTTGTTTGTAATAATCAAAACAAGAAGTCAACCATTAGGTCAACAATTTCCCCCTTTTTGATTATGACAAACGAGATGATTTTTGCAAAATAAATATTGAACAAATTGAATTGATATCAAATAATCAGGAGCATAATTTTGTATATTGCAAGTAATATTCCCCCTATCGACATGCATATAACATTTAATAACATTTTCCCTTACCATATTGTTCCTATATAGCATAATAATTTGCTCATCTTCCCCCTTTTGACATAAGCAAAAAGACATAATAGGTCAAATAGCATTTAAGAAGTCAACCATCCAAAATATAAAAAAGCAATAAATAACATCTAACATGAGAATAATAGTAGGCAAGAAAATAAACTAAGGGGTCGAAGGTGGGGGCGAAGGAGGAAATCTAGCATAAAACTCGGTGGATTTGCAGAGAGATTTTGGGCAAGGAGGATGAAGAAATGGATGAAAAAGGGATGAATCTGTGTTTTTAAAAAAAACTGTACAGACGGTCCGGACGTCCAGATGACAGCGACCTTCAGTTTCTGCCAATCCGGACAGTATAATCCATACAGCTTTTGCTTGTCCGGATGATTTTTTTTAAATAAATAATAAAATAAAATAAAATAATAAAAAAATAATGAAAGAAACTAAAACTAAGTTTACTTCATTTTCATCAATAATCCTCAATCCTCTTCGAATAATTGAAAAACGTTCATATGCTAGAGGTTTGGTAAAAATATCGGTCAACTGATTATCGATTTTTATAAATTCTAATATAATATCTCCTTTTTGGACATGATCACGAAGAAAATGATGTCGAATCTCAATATGCTTAGTTCGTGAATGCAAGACGGAATTTTTAGACAAATTTATGGCACTGGTATTATAACATAGAATAGGCACATGAACATAAGACAAATGATAGTCACATAGAGTTTGTTTCATCCAAAGTGTTTGTGCACAACAACTAGCGGCCGAGTTATATTCCGCCTCGACGGTGGATAGTACAACGGAATTTTGTTTCATACTAGACCAAGATATAAGTGCAAAGCCTAGAAATTAACAATTTTCACTTGTGCTTTTACGATCAACATTACATCTGGCCCAATCGGCATCTGAATAATTAATTAAGTCAATATGACTGCCTTTTGGATACCAAAGTCCTAAAGTACTCATACCTCTTAGATAACGAAATATTTTTTTTTACGGCCTTTAAGTGTGATTCCTTAGGATTAGATTGAAAGCAGCACATAGGCAAACACTAAACATAATATCGGGTCTACTAGTAGTTAAATATAGAAGGGATCCGATCATACCTCGATATTTTGTGACATCCACGAAAATACCTTGCTCATCCTTATCAAGCTTTAGAAATGTGCTAATTGGTGTGTTCATAGGCTTGATGTCATGCATGTCAAATTTCTTAAGCATGTCTAATATGTATTTATTTTGATTTATGGAAATTCCTTCTTTCATTTGTTTAATTTGAAGGCC